CAAACTATAAATTGTGACGATCACTACATTATAGGCGGAGCTATCTTAGAACTCATTCTTTTATCAATTATTTTGACTTCTTCATTGTAAAAGACTTCTTAGTTGACTTCCCTTTTACTACAGCTTTGAGCAGAAAAAATAGCTCACTAATAAAATTGACTCAAGTTTCTATCAAGTTCATTTCTCTCTTTTGATGATGTCATACAAGTTGGTAATGATTGGACCCAAAGAATTTCTACTATATATCCAGTAATTTTGAATCCACTTCGCACTACCAATGGTGCCGCGAGCATTGCATAAGACTATGGTATATGTAGGAGATATATTGGAAGCTCTATGTTCCAAATTTAGCTTGTAATTTGTTATCCATTGGTAAAATTACCTCCGATCATCCGTGTTTGCCTTGCAAATTTCTACCCTTCTTGCTATGAATTTCAGAAATTGATCGCTGTGACGATAATCGACAATGTTAAGGAAAAAATAAACTATTACTTTGAAGATGAGCTTAACTCAAATCGACAATGTCAAAATACTTATTTAATTTTTTTTTTAAAGACAATGATACAATGTTATTACATTATACATTAGGTGATCGCAATGCTTAGTATTTAAAGTACTTGCTTTCAACTTTATTTTAAAGTAAGAATCTATCTTCCTTTCGATGTGAAGTTTGTTAGTTTACTAAACATCATTGTGATTATTTTCTCCTCAAATTTACTATATCATTTACTTTGATTAATAGTGATATCTGGGATCCTTTTAAAACACTTATATATTTTGGGGAAAAAAAAAGTTTACGATATTTACTGATGATAACCGAGAATATTATGGAGCGATAGTAGCCGAGAATATTTCAAAAATATTTTGGATCAATTTTTTTCAGAAAAGGAATAGTTCATTTAAGCTCTTATGTCGATACTCCATAAAAAGTTAGTGTGGTAAAAAATAAAAACAAAAACTTCTTGAAAGTAAGTTAGGCATTCTTTTTTACCAATCATATGCCCAAATATCATTATGATAAAGCTATTCTTACTGCTACATTTCTCGATAATTGAACACCTAATAAGGTTTAAAAATTTAAGCATCTTTTTATGTTTTTCATAGGGTCTATCCTTACAATCAGCTCTCATCTTCTTTAACTTTAAAGATATTTGGATGTACTGCATTTGTTTACTTAATAGTCATAATTAAGAACAGCTTGAACCTTGAGCTAAAAAACGTGTTTGTTTGTTTGTTATAGCCCCACTCCAAAGGGGTATAAATATTTTACTTTTTTCTCTAAAAAAAACATTGTTATCATGGATATAACTTTTTTTGAATTACAATTACTTTCTCTCATCATCTTCACTGGGAGACAAAACAAAGATTCGAATAGTATTTTTCAAAAAAAATTTTCAAACCGAAGATTTACAAAATAATACCTCCCCAACATTGATCGTCAACATAAAAGTCCAAGCTATATTATAATAAGGAAAAGTGATTCAAGTTTTTTGGGTAGCGAAGATGATTCTTTTCTTCCTACAGCGTCATGTCATGATATTCATGATCCTATAATAACTAACAATGAAGAAACAAGAAAAACAATATGTTGGTGGTACCACTTGACATTATCTACTCATGCAGAGGATATCTCAAAAGAAAGGGTCTACTAATCTTTTACACTGCCTAGATTTTGTGAACCATTTAGATAATGTCATCACTAATTATTTACCCTATGTTCAGTCTACTTCATCATCTAGTACTAAATTTTTTAGTCGTGAAACCAAGTTTAGTTTTAATCTTAAATCTAATGATTCTAATCTTCCCATTGTTGCTAAGGGAGAGATATATTGCACCCAACATCCATTACCTACTATATTTCATTGAAAATATTTCGCCTATTTTTTCGTGTTTTTACCTCCCTTGTATAGAGATTCTAATGTTGTGCACGATGCTCTGAAATTTTGTTAGTGGAAGGTGCTTGTCTTTGAAAAGATGAAATCTCTTATAAAAATGGCACATAGGAATTGGTTGATCTACTTATAGAAAAGACAACTATAGAGTGCAAAACAATGTTTATAGTCAAATATAACTTTTATGGCTCTTTAGAATGGTATGAGGCTCTACTGGTTCTCATGATATTCACTCAGACATATGACATTGATTGCTTAGAGACATTTGTCATAGCTGTAAGATACTCAATTGGCTCCTTAATAGTTGCATATAAAAAATTTATTTCTTAATAGGATTCGGAGGTAGAAGAGTATTTGGATGCACCTCCAAAATTTAGCAAGAAGTTCGACACAAAGATGTGTAAACTATAAAAGTTTTTTAATGGGTTAAAGAAGTCATCGTGAGCGTGGATTGAGAAATTTACTCTATTTATTAATGATCAGTGTCATACTCAAGAGCAAGGAGATCATATAATATTCTTTAAACATTTAAAGGATGGGAAAATGCCCAAATTGATTGTGTATGTTAATGATATAATCCTCACTAGAGATGATGTATATGGAATGAACTGTTTTAATGTTTCTCTCTTATTAATTTTTTAAACCAAGTATTTAGGATCTCTGAGCAATATCCTTAGTATGGAATTGCTCAATCAAAGAAAGAGATTGTTATTTCCCAACGAAAACATATTCTTGATCTTCTAAAGCAAATTGAGATGAGTGGGTGTAGGCTTAAAAACACTCTAATTGATCCCAATCAGAAAATGAGAGATGTGAAGCAAAGGGTTCCAACGAATACAATTAGGTATCAAAAATTGGTGGAAAAATTAATATGCTTATCACATACATGGCTAGATATTGCCTTTACTCTGCGTTTGGTATGCCAATTTATGCCTTCACCCTTTGAGAAACACCTTGAAGTAGTTAACGAGATTCTCATATGTCGAAAAAGTAAACTAGTCAAGGGCTTACTCATTCAAAAGACCACACAATAAAACATAGAGGCATATATTGATGCAAAGTTGATGGGCTTGATTATTGACATTTTAACATCATCCGAATAGTGTACTTATATTTGAGAATATTTGGTTTCATGGCAGAGTAAGAAATAGAATGTGTTTGCAAGAAGTAAAGTCGATGCAAAATATAGGGCTATGACTAATAGAAAGTGTGATATGTTACAGTTGAAGAGAATTCTCAAAGAGATGCAAATTCCGATAAGCTTGCCAATGAAATTATAATCTGGTAATAGAACTCTCAAAAGCATTTTAAAAAAATCCAGTGCAACATGAGCGTACAAAACATGTGAAGTTTGATAGACATTTCATTAAAGAGAAGATTGATTATGGAGTTATTTGCATGCATTTTATCACAACTATGCAACAAATAGCAAACTTTTTCACCAAAGAATTTTTCAGGCCTAATTTTGAGCTATTTACAAGCAACCTGGACAAGATTAAAATCTATGCTCCAAATTTAGGAGGGTTGTCAAATTTTTAGGAATTTTTTTTAGCATATCCTATTTTATAATTTTATGTTGTTTGTAATTTTTTATTTATGTTTCTAATTTTTCAATCATGGGAAATTAGTGGTTGTTCTAATTTTTTGGTCAACCCTATATTTTATCTTGTAAATCCTACTATGAAATAGAAATCAAATAATTATTTCTTAGACTCCCAAAAATATTTTTATATATTTAGATATTATATTGTATTATATATATATATATATATATATAATACAATATAATATCTAATATATAATACAATATTGTAAATATTTGCTATTATTTATGTAAGTTTTAGAGACCTAGGGGTTATTGTTGATTTTGCATAACGAAGAGGGCCATGAAGAAGTCATAGATGAATTCTTTCAACAAATTGCCATTTTGAGTGCTCTCTTATTAAATTTGTTGTTTGAAAGACTTGGTTGTATAAGAAACAAAAAATTCGAACACTGTGCATTAAGAATATTGCACTCAATATAAATTTTAACTCTCCTCAACTACTCTTGTAAAACTCTTGATGCATATTTTGAAACCTGGATTGCTCATTGAGTCACTTTAGCTACTAGCACATGAATCGACTAATTTAATTTAGCAAACTGGTCTAACAAATGAATCATAAGAAAAAAAAACATAAAATTTTAAATACTTCAAATTTTTTGTAAATAAAAGCTTTTTGGAATCATATAAATAACTGTAATGAAATAATACCTATTGTCAAATATTATAAAAACTCATAAACTTAGATTTTTAACATAGAAGTTATCAATTTACTATGAAATGCGAATTAATAACTCTAGGATTATGATTTATCGATAGCCCATTCTTCATCTTAATTCAGTGAGACGGTTTCAATTGAGTCAGTCTTATTCACTATATTGTACTGATTTTAAACTAGCCTAACAAAGAAAATTAAAATTTTGTTCAATCAGATTGACGGTCAATTTACTCTTAGTATGACCAATCGAAGCAGTGGTTCACATCTACCATAAGTAACGATTATGCTTTTGATTCTAAATCATGAGAAAAAAAAAACAAGGATGTGGGGGCGATGATCCAGCTGAGTAAGCAGATGGAGCTCATTCCAGCCAATAGGCAAACATGTCCATGGTGCCCCCAATGCAGAATCCACTAATACAAAAAGCCAATCTAGCAGTACAATAATTTTAAATATTAAAAACCAAAAAAGACAAGAATCATATATTTAACAAATAACAAGTCACAAAACACCCATCACGGTCATACAAAGTAAACAGTCTTAATTGAAAATGCGACCATCCATTAATTGGATTAGTTATCATTGTAAGATTAACACAGCCACGAATGAACATCTAAGTGGATTTTTTTTTCCCTACCAAATATAGAACAAATCCTCGCATAACGCTTTAAAGAGTAAATGTATGCTGCCAATTCAATGGATCAAATTAGTTTTTAAAATAGAACGAGTAGATGGAATGAATATCTATCCCATTCAAATGACCCTGAGTCAATTCCAATTCATTATGCAATTTGGCAACAAACAGCAGTAGCAACTACAACAAGAAATAATCAAGGAAATGACCGACCTTAGAAACATCACGAACAACATTGTCTCGGTTGGCGACTCCGAAGGCATTGCTAAGCTCGCCGAAGATGAAGCTCATGAGCGGCATTGCAACCCCGGAGGCCACCGCTCCGCAGAAACCCACCAACATCAATAGCACATCCTTCGAGTCCGCGAAGGAGAACAACTTGTAAAACGCCACCTTCTTCGCATCTTCGCCCTCGCCCATGCTTCGTTTATTGGTTAGCGACCCAAAATCCCTAGGCTCTTAATCCAGAAACAGGAAAACTCAATGAAACGAGCTAAAGATCAAGAAATGAATCAATGAAAGAAATAGAGAAAACAGGAGCGTTCGCACATTCCCGTTTTTCTATCTCTCTCAATCGATCGAGCGGCCGACTACATTCCATTTTTATGCTCATATTTATGGCGAGGGCTAGGTCCAAGTTATCGAATTAGGGAGGATGGCAGTGATCTCGATCGCAATACACCCGATATTTCTGCATGGTTTTCCGGCCTTGCTCCTTCTGGAAGAATTTTCCAACCCTTAATGTTTTCCTGGCCGTTCGATTACACTGTACTTTCCACGTGGACGATGGCATGTAATTGGCTTTATTTGCCGAAGGCGAGATGAGGCTTTTTTAGAGAGCTGGAAATCGGTTAACGGCATTGAGGTATTCCCAAGCCAAAAATGTATGAATGAATTTCTAAATGACCAGCGGTTTAAAAGCCGAACCAGACCAGCTGGTTCGGTGGGCTTGATTCTGAACTAACCGGTCGCCGGTTTGAAATAGTCATTTTTTTGTCGAATCCTCCGTGGTCATTTCTTGTCAGCGTTTTGATAAGAAACCGGCGTACTGGCCAGTTATGATCGCAAAAACATGATTTCATTGCAGCAAAATTTAATAATGTGCTCACTTGTTCACGTAAACTATGAGCCTGTTTGGGGTAGTTTATTTGGTGCGGTAGCGTTTTAAAAACGCAAATACATTTTGTTTTGATGGCTTATGCATTTTCAAAACATTGAAAACAGCGTTTTCACACCGCACATGTCTGGGTGCGGTGACAGTTTTTTTACTGCGGTTTGACTTTTCCAAAAAAAAAAAATTATAATAGTCACCGCACTTAGCTTAGGAGTAGATTATTTTTAATCTGCTTATCAGCAGATTATTCAATAAGCTTCAGCTGCCTCAAACAAACCCTAAAGCTAGGATATGTCTGAGTTTCTAAATCCCTAAAATCCTGTCTCAAGTGCTCTTTCTGCAGCTTCCCCTTGTCCCAAGAGGTATCCTGTCATTCATCGGAAAAAAATATTGCATAAGGTTGATTGTATGTACATCCACATCCGTGATGCGAGCATAAAAAAATCTTGACCCCTCAGTATCTGCATCGTTTTACGTACATACATAACATTTGTTCTGCCCACTTTCTTATTCCTGTCATTTTTTGTTGAGTTCATATGTAATTTTCGTAGTTTTTATGGAATAGCATTTAGCTCATTTGAACAATTATTTTCCCATTTTCGTAGTTTTTATGGAATAGCATTTTGCTCATTTCAACAATTATTTTTCCATTTTGAGTTTGTTATTTCTACTTTTCTTCTTCAAAGGCTTTGATGTTGTATTTATTCCACTATGTTTATGTGACAATTCATTTTGGGTTTAAGGATTATAGTGGCAATGAAATCACATGTAATTTGGTCTCTCTTTGGAAGGAAGAAGAAGAAAAATACTATACTATTTTGCAGCATGTAATCAAACGAGTAGAAGAATAATAATGTGCATGTATAAATTTAGCTATTTGGCATTTTTGACCAATCACAATTATTTTTGTGTGACTTAACTTGATTGGAGAACATATTAGAAGTTTAAATCAGTTTTGAGAATATTTATCTTTTTTTTTTCTTAATTCATTTTGATGGCTTAAATTTAGTTACTCTTATATATGCACAAAATAAGAATTCTTTTATTTTTCGGTTGGATTTTAATGAGCGACTTGATGATGTAAATTTTATTTTGCCCAACTATTTTAGAGCTATCCAAAAAAAGTTCGTCATTCAAGGATTGGGGTCATATTTGACTTGTTAAGTAGCTCATATTCAATTCATTCATTAAGCAAGCAAGCTTAAAACTAATATTTTCCTTAGCTCAATTTATGAACAAATCGAACATGTGCAAATATTTGTTCGTTCATATTCAAATCGTTTAGGTTAAAAAAAATTAAATTAGTAAATAATAATATTTATTTATATCATTTTTACATAAATTTTTATATTGTATTTTAAGAAAACTAAATTTATCATTTTTATTTAAAAAAAAATTCATGTTGTTAACTTAAAAATAAATTTATTTCATTTAAGTCTCAAAAAATATAGGCCAAAAGTCATATATTGGATGTCATAAATAGAAAATATTGAATTTTTTGCTACAAAAATCCTCTGAAAGCGTGCATGCATGCAGACACTTTCCAAACATGCAACAATTCTGTTGACGTAAGTTCACTGGCCTCATGATCACATTAAGCTGATTTGCCTGCTAACTTACGTTTTTGTCCGCGCTGACTTGATCTATGCCCACTGCCCACATTTCCTATGATACTAGTGCACAAAGTTGCACAAGCGCACATAGATGAGTGTACACACTGACACATGCTCGCATCTATACGCTTCCACTCACACTTGTGTGCATGAGCTCATCTCCATGTGCATCAATATGTCCCTACTTGCATTTGTGTTCGCTTACAAGCACCAATACATTCCTAATAAATAATTGTACTTTGCTTGCACAAACACACATATGTGCCCGTGCTTGCGTGACTACAATTTCAGGTGCTTACCACTTCTCTATAATTGCTACCACAAATTGAGTAACATAATCTAGCTGTCTCGATGACACCGTCTCCTTCAAACTACAACTGTCCAGCTGTCATTCAATGTAATAATGACAACTTGATTTAGACTTCATGAAGTACCCAAGACAGCTCATAATGCCTCAAAAGTAAAAAAGAAATTGAAATATTTATTTTTAGGTGAAGCAAACAACATCGCCTGAAAATAGAGGAGGCAACTAATGCCTTATTAAAAAATGTTTATCATATGACATGATCTCCAGAGATTTTTTAATAAGAGACATTCTAGATCTACAATAAGAATAAAATGCTCACTATTTTTAAAACCCCCGAGTCTTGTACTGTTGTTGCGACGATCTATAGATATACACCAGTTGTTGTAATATATATATATATAAATCAAACAGGATAACGATCGACGAAGCGAAAAATAGAACGAGAAAAATCACACCAGAAAAGAACACACAGATTTACGTGATTCGGCAAATTGCCTACGTCCACGGAGTTGCAGAGGATTTTACTACTTGAGAATTTTACACCAGTCGATCACCTCGACTTACAAGAGGAATCTCTCACTCTCACTTCATTGTTCTCTCTTCTTCTCTCTCTTTTCTTCCCTCTCTACACCGAGATACACCAAAGAAACTCTACATTGAGATACACCGAAGAAGACAAACTTACAATAGAAATAAACTCAATTTCTCTTAAGGTACAAGCCACCAAAAAGAAGTCAAGGGAGAACAATCTTCTTCTTCTTTCTTCTTCCTTCACCGCAATAACTACTTGCACTTTCATTCCTCTATCCCGAGGAAAATTGAAGAAGAACACTGTGACTACTAAAGCTGAAGAGAGTTGTTCGTAGTCTTTTATCACGAACAGGAGGGAGCAAATGGATGCTACGCTTCACAACATAGGAAGGCGGGAGCGGTTGGCGCGCGACTGAAGAGGCGAGAGGCGCGACTCTTCACGAACGGGAGTGGGAGCTGGAGCGGGATCGCGACGTTTCGCGATCGTGGAGGCGGGAGCGGCAAAAATTGGGCTCCAACGCTTAACAATCTCCCACTTGGAGACTGATACACCTGCTACAACATCTTCTTCCTCAAACTGTTATCCTCCACTGACGGTGTCACCCTTTTCTTCAAACATGAATCCTCCACCTCTGGAACTCAAAACCCTGTCTTCACTCTAGAAGACCAACTGAAGTTGTACACAAATTTAGTTTCTCAAGAGTAACACCCTCAGTCAACATAGCAGCAGGGTCCAAATAGCTTTGCAAGCTTTGCATCTCCAAGATATTCCCTGAATTTCTCTTATCTTTGCTTACAACTCCCATTGCATAGGCAATATCCTGCCTCTGCTGAAAGTCTTTTTTAACAAGTCTAGCATTGTACCTCTTACTGTCATCATGCTCAGTATTCACCTGATACACTCACTTGTTGTGTAATGCCTTCTTTCCTGGTAGAAGTTCTGTCAGCTCCCACTTGCTCTAACTTTCATCTTGATCCATCTTTCTGGTCGATTACTTCATAGCACTTTAGTTCTTCATCATCTGTATGTGGAACAATAGGAATGGGTGCCTCGGTCTCACTATCCTCCTCACTTCCATCATCAACAGAGCTATGAACTGTCAGCAATAGTGCATCATGTACTTCTTCAGATACCACATTTGCACTATCATTCTCCATCTTCTTTAAGATTTCTGCAATCCCTCCTTATGTGGACAACTTTGTCATAATTCCAACAGATTGTCTGCTGACCAGACTTTGATTTTGATATCCCTTTATTTGAGTTATTGTCATGTCATCTCATGTCATCTCCCTCTGAAATCTCCCTCTGAAATCAACATTCAGTGTTGAACTCGTACCTGAGTTCTCACCAAAATCTTTCCTGCGAACTTTCTTAGCCAAAATCAAATTAAGAATATCATCACATTTCAGTTTAGATTTCTCTGCAGAACTGCTAACTGCCATCCTCATGGCTTCCCAACTATTTGACAATGATGTCAACAATATCAACGCACGTATCTCATCATCAAAATCAATTTCAACAGACGACAATTGATTTGTGATAGTATTGAAATCATTCAGGTGTTGAGCAACAGAAACACCTTCCACCATCTTCAAGTTGAATAACTTCTTCATCAAGTACACCTTATTATTTGTCGATGACTTGTTATACATACCTGATAAGACTGTCATGAGATTTGCAGTTGTCTTCTCTTTGACGACATTTTGTGTAACGGACCTCGATAGGGTCAATCGAATAACCCCCCACCCCCCCGGAACCTGCCGATCCAACAGATTGCATTCCGCTTTGTCCATCTTTTCTGGTCATTTCCCCAATAATGGAAGATGAAGTTTCTTCTCATTTAAAGGTAATCCTCTATCTGCATTGCATTCTCCAATAACCAAAATCTGTGCCATTAAATTTCTCGATTCCTGAAACACTCACTTCATCTGCAGCCATCATTCTTCCTCAGATCTGAACAAAGCTCTGATATCAGTTGTTGTGCGACGATCTATAGATAAGCACCAGTTGTTGTGGTATATATATATAAATCAAACAGGAGAACGATTGACGAAGCGAAAAATAAAACGAGAAAAATCACTTCAGAAAAATACTCACAGATTTACGTGGTTCGGTAAATTACCTATGTCCACGGAGTTGCAGAGAATTTTACTACTTGAGGAATTTACACCAGACGATCACCTCGACTTACAATAGGAATCTCTCACTCTCACTTCGTTGCTCTCACT